AAGGGAGGGAGGAAACTATAAACTTCACACTAGGCAGCCAAGGACAGGCCAGAAACTGCCAGCAGGGTGCATTATACGGAGAAATTGCCCAGAGACCACAGAGGGGGGGTGGGGTGGGAGGTGGCCACTCGGGCCAGCAAACAGGTACCGTGGGCTCCGTCCTCCATGCTGGGGACAAAGGAGTGGCATCTTGCAGGAGGAGACAGCATATTAGCTTCACTCCGTGAACAAGCAGAGGAAGACACCAGAGGTCAGAAGGGGCTGGCAAAAAATGCAGGGCTGGAACGAATCAGGGACCTGACTCAGCCGTAACTTACATAGTGCTGCCCTTCCCCAGTGTGTAAAATATACAGTATCTCAGACCTTGAAAGGGACAGAGGTGAGCGGCAGCTTGCGTTGGGCAAGGACAGCCAACAGGTCAGTGTGGCCGCAGCACTTTGTCCAAGGCAAAGTGAGGACAAGGTTGGGGACAGGGCTAGAAGCCAGGCAGGGAAATACCCTGCTCCATCTGGCTGGCCGGTGACCGATTGTGACTCTCTGGGTGATGGGGGAACATCGGGCTAATTCTGAACGCTGGAGAGAACCAGATCGGTGGCCCAGCTAGCCCACTCTGGTGCTGCGCAGAGGGTGGGTTTGTGAGGGCCAACTGGAAATTCAAAGACTGCTGTAGGTGCTGGTTCTAGGCTCCAAAAACCAACAGCCCTGTGTTCTTTCCACTGCCTGACACCACAGCAGCTCTGTGACTTCTCCTCGTAATCCCTTGAGCCACCTGGTACGTGTCAACTTCACTGGTTGTGTAGACCCCCAACTTAACCACGGAAGGGCTGGTTCCCTGTATCCTCCTGGGATGGTCCTTGGTCTAATCATGTGTGTTAACCTAGATCCAGGAATTCTCCCCAAACTCTTAACTGTAACAGACCACTGGGTCTGCCTTGAGTTAGATGATGTCATTCTTTTGGGTGCTTCTCACAGATACTGCCAAAGCAGGACTGCCGCATTGTGAAATAAAGAATTCTAGCCAGCTCAGGCTCTCTAGAGTCGGTAAATCCGGGTCATTTGGATTTGAAAGGTATCGCTGTGCTCCAATGAGTACAAAAATTACATATGTCATGTCAACTAGCTATGCCCTGATCGCCCCCATATAAGGCCCTGGACTTACGTTGGTTCTTCTGTTGCCATTCTGGTCTCTTCTAGTTCTTGTGCTTGTTTCAGCCAAGGTAATTTAGCTTCCACTGGACCTTTTTCTAAGAAAAAAGGGACACAAACAACAAGCTTAATTACTGTTAATCATTAAGGAGCTGGATACAAGATTCTTCGTCGAAGATTTTTGTCAACAAAGAGGTCATGTTTCTCAGATGTGGGCTGAGTCCTTTGGCATGGTACATTAAGTGGCTTCTGGATTGAACCAAAAATTTCTCTTGTGTACTTTCTTGAATGAACACATTATCGAAAGGCTCCCACAGCACAGTTGAATATATTCTCCAAGTTAACATAAAATGCTTTTTGTAAATCAATACCAACCTCTTGTTGGCATATTGAAGTTCTTACTTCAACTGTATCGGCATGCTTTCCTTTGCCATAAATTCTTTTTGCCCACTGAATAAAGCATTTAAGGGAGAAAAGCAAGTGAGAGAAGGGTTTAAAACACTGGGAGGCAGAGAGTCTGTGCTTTGCTTGACTCCAACTCTCCCTGTTGCTCTGATGGTTGTGGAAGAGAGTGTCCATCACAGGGACCTACCCGGCAAGCTGGTGCCCTTCCCGTCCTCCTAAGACATGAAGGAAGAAACAATCTAGTCGTAAACTGAGAAAAAGTAATCTGGGGCTGCTTCAGGGAAATCACAGGCACGAACGAAATGACTATGGAAACACATCGAGTGCAGAAGGAAAGAGAAAAACTTCACCAGTGAAGGTACGTCTTCGGGCTCTGCACTTTGCATGGCAACTTGTGAGCTTTCTGGAGGACAGACGTCACCAAATAAACACTTGTTGGCTCCTTGGCACTGACAGGTGGGAATAATCTTTCTCCCATTGCCACAGAGGAACCACGTGTCATTCGGGTTGGCAATACCTCACTAATGTACATGGAAATACGTCATCACGGCTAGAGAGGAAGGAACTTCTTACCCGTGGATGCTACCCATTCTGGCTCATTCACATGGAACAAATGGGAACTACGAAAGACATCCTAAATGTATCCACAGATCTAGACTGGGGACTGAAAGGGTTCATTCGCTCCATGGCAGGCAGTGGACACCTGACAAAGACGATAGTGTCCCTCCCTCATGAAGCTCACACTCCCGTGGAAGAAATGTATAAAACACTAGGGAACCGAGAAGAATGGGAAGCATGGGGGCATTTTCCTGTTTCTCTTTCTCTTCCTTCCCTTCCTTTTCTTTCCCCTCACCCTTTTCCTCCTTTTTCTTCAAGGTGGAGGGGGCATCAAATTATTTTACATCCACCAAGAAATGTTAGTATAAGCCTAGACAGAAAAGAACCACTCTCGCTGGACTGAATCAACAAGGCTCTGTTTTCCCTCCAGATCAATTCATCCCAGAGGTCCATCTTCTGCATCTAGGTGGATGGGTCTCCTGTAATCTGCCAGGAAGACCATGTTTATAAGACACTTAGTAGGTTGAAATATAAATGGCGCAATATTGGAAGAAGAGCTGGAAAACACCACCTGATTTAACTTTAACCACAAGCCCACCTTTTCTAATGTACATGGAAATACGTCATCACGGCTAGAGAAGAAGGAACTTCTTACCCGTGGATGCTACCCACTCTGGCTCATTCACATGGAACAAATTTAACTTTAACCACAAACTCACCTTTCGGTTTATAACACGGGATGGGAATGATACACTCTTCTTTGATGTGGAGCTTCAGTTGTGGGTTGCAGCCGCCAACGTGCTGTCCACGATGGTTGATACACAGCACGACCCGGTAACGCAGCCCTCGGCCACAAGTCACTGTGCACTTCAAGGAGGACAAGAGAAGCCAGTGAAAGTCTTGCTCACCAAGAGATCCACAAAGGTAACAAAGTCTCATGCAAAGGAAGAGCCGCTGACCTACATGAATATTAAACACAAAAGATGAGGTCACAGTGCAAGGAAAAAGTCGAAATGCCTGGAAATCTTTCTGCTCGGACATTTTTCAAATTTGAATAAAAATCGACACGACATTATTCAAAACAGTTCATGAGGATGAAAGAAACTTTTCTAAAATATCAATAAAAAAATCAAATTTGGATGAACCACGCTGGAGGATTACCTTCCTCTTCTGTCTGTAGAAATCCATCTTGCCAAACTACTGTGATGTGAAGAGGCTACCGAAGAATGTTCAGCCAAAAGTAAAAAGCAAACAAACAAACAAACAAACAAAAAACTCTAGACATTATCAAGCAATTAAAACTAATAAAAACGTTATGCTATTTTTTTTCCTGAATTTTTATGAAGTCCGTGCTGTATTTTGTTCTTGCTTATAAATGGAGTATTGTCATGTGACATCTAGCATGTCTCTTCAACTTAGCTACATGTGTTTGTGTGTAGTTTTTTTAATTAGACTTGATTTTTTAGGTTTTTAGGTTTACAGGATAATTGAGCAGAGAAGACAGAGTTTCCACATGTCCCCTCGCCCCGTACACAGCTCTCCCTGTTAGTAACATCTGGCTTGAGTGTGGTGAGGTCGTTACAATCCATGAACCAACACTAACGCGGCAGCATCGACTTAAGTCCAGAGATCACATCTGGGTTGTTGTCAGCTTCCAAACATCTGTCATTTCTTGCCATTTCTTTTCTCATTCTAAATGAACATTCATTCAGATACCCAACATTTGCGTTTTGCATTCTTTTATCTTAAAGAGTCACCTCCAATATGTATAAACTTGAAGCCCCACCAATCAACTCCTGAGAGGAGCTGAGAGTCCTAGTGCATCTGTGACAGAACAGCCACTGTCCTGCAGATGTGACGTCCCTAATCCTCCCCACATACCTGCATGTCAGTAGCACCATTCCCACTTAACGGGTGAGCAGATAGAAAGCCCACCACCTAAGAACCTTGCTCGAGGCTGTTTTGCTCTCACTTCATAAAGCACAAAGATTCTTTCCTGAGTCCATGATGCCGTCTGCATTGTCAAAGGCAAGATTTAGAGGACACAGGCCTTTTCCAGCATACCTGTGTCTCCAGGAAAGGCCGGATATCAGGTAACCTCTCTGATTCCATCAGGTCACTCATGACTACTACGCAAATAGTGCAAAAATTGAGTGATATCTAAGATTAGACCCTATGTCTCGGAAACTGATTCACCTACCCCAAATTTATCCATTCGAAATGCATGGAATCTTGGGGGGGGGTGGGTATGTTGGCTGAGAAAGAAAATGATATGACTATAAGATATAACTCTACTAGAACTGGCCATTCCTAAAGACTCTCATTTCCTACAAGACTACTGTCCCCTCTCCGAAAAGCTGCACGCTCACCCCAAAGACGGCCATCAGCGTTCACGTATCCAGAACTCCTCTTTGGAGCTAAACAGATCCGTAATGATAGCGAATCTCGAATGAATTTAATTTTGGAAAAAAAAAAGAAAAGTATGAAGTGACAAGGAAGTAAACAAGATGAGGTGGTTAACGGCCCTCTGTTTTGATGTCGTAAGTGGACACAGTCATGATATCGATGGGTCAGGGGTGGTATGACGGCTTTAATGCCAAAACAAAACATATGGGCAAAGCTTAGAAGAGCTGAAAACATGCTCGGCAGGTTGTAAAGTAATGTCGATTTTCGACCACAGGTCATGGCGTGATTTTTGGCATATAACTCAGGAGTTCAAAGAATGGAATGACTTTGCTCTAATAAAATCCTTCCGCCTCGGTCTACTTATTTACATGAACAAGCTTTCCTAATGTGTACATGCAAAACAAAACAAGAAATCCACAGTAAAATTAAGAATAAAATTACGGCTGAACCCACATCCTATTCTAGTAATGAACTATTTTTTTAAGCCCTATTCATCTTCTAGACTCATTTCAGATGAAAATCTACTTTCTGTGTGGAATCATGATTTACCAAAGTTTGAAATATATTTATGTTGTCTTGATTGTGTACTAAAATTAAATATAACTTCATCCAGGGGAACATTAATATTTAGAGCCTTATGACCAAAGGAATTTCAAACAATTCTAACCACTGCACATTTTCTTAGAGAAAAGCAGAATAATGTAAGCAATGAAAGACTTTAAAGCATAAAAGCGCATTATATGAGGACAAATTTCTGTGAAGGAAGTGTATTGAAAATGTGAGTCCAATGGGGAAAAAACACAAAATATCCAAATTCTTTAGGAAGAGCTTGTTCGTACGTTTTTTAAATGAAAGATGGCAACATGGCATTTCATCCTCCTGGACACCTTTTTTAAAAATGCTGTAACACATTATTTTAAATGTCAGCATTCATAACATATTAGAAATGACCTTTTTGATGTTCTTTTCATTTAAACTTGTGATTAAAAAAAAAAAAAAACGTTTTTAGGTGTCAACCTAAATATATATGAAGAGATATGTAATTTTCCAAGCATCTCTTTGGGGGCATGTGAACAAAAAAAGAACCAACGACATAGCAAATACTCATTACGGTCTGAGCCGTAATTAACAGCGCCCTGTGGGTCCCATCTCACCTGAGACCAGTCCATGGCGATCCACTTGGGGCAGTCGAAGAGATTGCACGCCTGCATGACCTTGGGCTTGGGCGCGTACATGCACTTCCACTCCTCCACCTGCAGGATCTCCCCGTGCATGGACTCCTCCACGCACACGAAGCTCCGCCTCTGCATGCCGCCTCCACAGGACGCCGAGCACGCCGTCCAGGGATTATGTTCCCAGCTCAAAAGCAAATAAATAAAAGCACGTTATTCATTTGTGGCTGGTGGGTTTGTTTCCAGCTCACAAGAAGGATCACAGAGGTGGCCGAGCTCAAGGAGCCTGGGGCATGGAAATGAAGACTGCAGTCTTCACGGCCATAAGCCAGCTCCGGGCGCAGGTGTGTAACGCCCTCGTCACCTTCCACGGAGCCACTGTGAGAACCAAATTATTTAAAATGCAGAGTGTGAAAGCAGCTTTAAGCTGTCTCTAAACTATAAAACACCGAAGGCCAGTATTTCTAGAGAATCACAGAAACTCAAAGTCAGAAAGGACCTCACGAGTCATCTAGGTGGGAAAAGGGGTCCAAATTTCTGATCACTTGCGATGCTTGAGCTCCCTCCTGGGCACCCCTCGCCCAAGACCTTCTCGACACCCCCGGTGTCGGCAAACATTGCTCTTGGAGGCAGCCTACCCCACCTAATGATTACGGGGCTGAAGTCTATTCTGCCTTAGCTCTCTCTTTAAAGGGTCTGCCATCCATCCTCCTACATTTTAACTACTGCGACACATCCTACAGTCCCTTGCAAACGACTTGGAGTAAATTACGAAAAGTAAAGGCATCACTCACCGAGGAAGAGGCTGGAAGTGGTCATAGGGCATGATCTCTTTGAATCCATCACTACAAATGAAATCGTTGTGACACAATCATTTCTAAATCAACGAGCACATCTATTAATTTGACTAGTATAGATGTGACATCCCAAAACACAGATCTCTTTCAAATGGAAAACTATGCAAAGTGCTATGAACAATTCACCCAAAATTCAGCCACCATCTCCTTAATTTCCAGAAACATCTCTGACATATACCATCCCCAGTTTGATAACGAAAATATAGGAAAGGCAACCAGCGGCACACGTTAATCAAACGGAAAAGGTTCTCTTAATTTAGTTCACTCTCTTCATTCCTCTTATTCACCTAAAAAGGTTATTATTTTGGTAAAATATATGAATGATATGAACACTGTCATATAGGTAGGACCTTCAGAAAAGCATTTTATTTCACAGACTCCGTCCTTTGAAAAGGTCTCTATTAATAATCATGGGACTACAGGAAATGGGCAGTTCAGTGACAGGAAATGAAACCCACTGAGAATGCTTCCTTCTCCACTTGCACACCTCCACGAGAGCCAACCAGACGGGATCTGGGCGATTCTGGGACTAAATACTGTGTCATTATTTTAAAATCCTCTAGCAAAGCCAGGAAACCTCCCCAGGCACTCCAAGTCAGCAGGTACTACATCATGCAACAGGGGGGTTCATGCACTGCCTTTACGCTCTGGTGTGAAAACTTGTGACTTCCTTGCACAACGCATAGCTATCCTGAATTTAATGTGAACGCTCCGGGAGTCCAAACGTGGTCATGGGTGACCTGACGGAAAAGCTAACAAGGCGAGTTCAAGATATTCGGGAACTGGCCCCATGGCGCCTGGAGGAAGAGATCTTTAATACCACAGATGCTGGAGATGCTCAGAGAGGTTCACTAGAAAGGGTTAAATAGGGCGGAAACACAGCCCACAACAAGAGAGAGCTTGGAGGCGAGGAGCCTAACTCCCACCGACCACGGTTAGCGACGCCGACGCCGGTACCCGCCACCGGTGCTGTGGAAGGGGTCGCTCGGCAAGGAGCGATGGGTGTCGGCTGCAGCCGATCTGTCTCTCCCGAGAACGAGGAGCGCGGGCAGTGGTGCTACCTGGAGGGGCAGGGGTCCATGCTGCACTCCCTCAGCTTGGGCTTCGGCTTCACGTTCTCGGGGTAGTAGTGGCAGTAGTGGTCGGGGACCACCCTCTTCAGGCGGATATCCACACACTCGGCCGAATTGAGCTGATAACCTGACGCGGGAGAAAGGAGATGGCTGAGTGTGGCACCTGCTTCGGTTTCACCTGGCAACGTTATCCCTCGTCACGCACGTTTTTAAAAATTATTCTTCTTTAAGAAACGGGGCGGTTCTCAACCCTGGCTGTATAACTCAACCGCTCGGGGATTTTTAATGTACATCGATGCCCAGATCCCCTCGCAGTCCGATGAACTCAGAAACCGGGTGGCTGGATCCAGGGATCGGTTTTGTTGTTGTTTTTTAAGGTTCTCGGGCTCTTCTACGATGACTAAAAGATTGCCAACGACTACTTGAACTGATTACGGTGGTCTCGGAACTTATAACGAAGAAGTTATACTAGAGAGCCCTTTGAAAAACGCTTGGACCTTTGTGCAGAAGGTTAGTTATTCTGTGTCCTGACTTCGTTGTCACATCTTGCTGTCGTCACAGCACCCAGAGACCTACTTAATGTTTACATGCCCACATAACGTTGTTTTGTGTGTATATCTGTTTTAACCAAAAAACTGACCCTGTCTTTTAAATCTTGGTCTGTTTTCTACTTTTCTGACTCAAGATTGCATTTTTGAGAGCCACTCTGCTCTGGGCTGTTGCTTCTTGTCTGCTGCGTAGTATTCCACTGCTTGCTGAAACCACAGTTCGCTGTTTGGCTGTTCTGGGTACTTCCAACACCAATTAACTTCTATAACTGGGGATTAAGCACTGTCTATACAGGGAAGTACAGAATCCATTCCCCTGTGTCTCCCTCTGCCTCACAGGCCTTTGAAGGGCAAGAAATGAAGACTTATTCCTAGCTCTATTAAATTCAGTTTGTACCGACTCTATGGAAAATGAGCATTCTACATGGATGAGCGCTATAAATTAAAAAAAAACAAACAAACTCACAAAGGGACACTTCCATTTCCTGAAAGAGCTGATTCCAGGTTTGCTGTCACCACAGAAATGCCACGTTAAGTTTTTCTCTTTTTTTTAAGGTCATTTTTCAAAACCAGAATGAGCTCTTCAGGGGGGTGGGGGGGAAGCCCAACGTTGAGTTCTCAGTCTCAGCCAATCGGTCTAAAGATCTAAAAATACACTAAAAGGCCTGATTGCCGCGAGGAATCTGATTTTACAAACCACTAGACAGTTTTCTACAAGTCATGGCTTGGATGGAAGCTGAGCATAGAAGGACAGACCGGTATGTATTATAAAAAGCGAGGGCGAAACCACAGGAACGAAAATCCAAATGGAGTCAATAAAATGTCACTCAGGTGCCAATCTCTGCCAGGAAGCCCACAATCTCAGATGGCAACGGCAAGCTGGTGCTTTCTCCAGACTGACCGCAAGGGTCCCACACAGATGATTTCAGACGAGACCAGGAAAATCCATCCGAGTGCCTTGGAGACCGGCAAGCTAATTTTCTCTATTATCCAAAAAAAAAAAAAACCTGCAAAATGCCATTTACACAAATCATGTAGATTTGATGACTAATATAATTAAATTTTCATAACACTTTCTTTGTGGCTTTTATATGCGTGTTTTCATCCCCCACAAACAAAATCGGAATGAGATTATAGCTCCTGGAATCAAAGAAAATTCTCTCTTCTAAATGGAAACATACTTCTGGAAGGAGATGCGGCACATCCGGGGGTTTATAATTTGAGGAGAGACAGTTAATTTTCCTCCTTAATTTTGGGGCAGTAGAGATAACTAAAAGGGAAAGAAATAAGGCAGGCTGCCTTCCTGTATCGTGAACAAAGTCTGCCAGTGTGCGGAAAAGCGCGGGCTGTAGGGGGACCCCCCCAAAAGCAGCCTCAAGTTCCCTTCACGTTCTCACGACCACTGCTGTCTTCGGTGCATGGTCTCACTGATAGGTGCTCCCATTTGCGGGGCCAGCCAGACCATCTGTGTGACCTTGGGTGCTCAAGGAAGAGACAGATCTACTCTCCTCTCAAGAATGTCACCAACCGAACTGAGCTGAATCCCATTATAAACACCCCTCCCACAGGGCAGATTCTCTTTTATCTTATGAGTCCAAATGGGAATGTCTTTCTGAAGAACTGCATGTGAGAGCCAAGGGATAAGTTAAAAAGAAAGAGATGTTTGTTTTTCTGCTGAGTAAGGATTCAAAAAAAAAGCCTCACCCTCTTGGAGGTTATAATTTGGGGTCCATGAAAGACTCATCTTCCCTGAAGCCGTGGCCCGCATGGGTCTAAGGAAGCGCGTGGGGTTGTGCTTCCGGATATAAAATACACATGAAGAAATCCACGGGTATGTCTCACTCACTCTAAGCCAGGTATGGATCTCATAACTTATCACGACAATGCTAGGATCAGGGACAGCCAAGAGTCATTTTTGACAAAATCAGGTTTAGATTCTGACATGGCAGATGATCCCCGAGTGCCCACTAATCGCCAGGCACTGTCCTGTGCTCCTTGACACAGTTCCTCATCTTGTTCCCCAACAATGCCACAAGGGGGATCATTCTATTTGACCCATGAGGAGACGAAGGCTCAAGAGGCTCAGAGACACCTTAGAGCGAATTTATGGCAAATCCAAAAAGGGGATCGAGACCCTCTGACTCCAACTCTACTGCTATTCCACGGTGCCGCGTGGCTTCTGGATGTGGACACTGGCGTGCAAAGTCTGGAGAGCTGGATTGGCCAAAGAGCTGAGGTCCGGGTTCAGAGAGATTCGTTGGCTCTACCCAGATCTCAACTCCAAGCCGTGTTTTACCTCGATCAACTTTAAGAGAGGGCCAATATTTTTAAAAATTCCCCTTAGAGCCTGCTGCAAAGTCAGCGACTCCAAGATCCGAAGGCGTGCTTGCCTCAGGACGATGCTTATGGTGTTCGATAAAACACGTTTCCCCCTCAGTTGGAACCGAGCGTCAATTGAGAGACGGTGAGAGCTGGCAGGGACCTTAAGATGATCCACCCCACTGTTTAGTTTCCATCGTGATTATTTTCGTGATCGTATTCTGGTTATGGAAAGAAATATCAGTTGCCCATCTAAGGTAGTAAGAGGATTTTTGTAAACGTGTTTAATTAAATTTTTAAAAGGTCCGCTTCAAGGAAAAAGTTCAAGTCAATAAGAGTGCAAGGGTAACACAGATATGGCACAAATAGTGGAGGGAGTGTGGCGACAGATGATACACAAAGATGCTGCTCTACGGAGAGATGGCTCTTCTGATCGGGTGCACCG